CAGCTGAAATTGTATGGGATATTTCTGTACAGTTGGATGAAGAAAATAATTCCTCACTTGTAAGTTTTGCTGGAAGAAGCTGCCATTGCTCCTTGTTAAGAAAGTTGTCACTGAATAATTGATCCTGGTGGCTTGGGGGAAGCTGGAGGGACTTACAATTCCCCGTTGTATCCCCCCCTGCGCCTACTTTACAGTGGCAGTGCTCCCAGGGGGTTGAGGAGCCGGCTGCTGGGGTTTCCTGGCTCTCATTTGGTGTAAGCACAACAGTCATTATTTCCCGAGGTTTACCAGAAGTGACTCAAAGCAGGAGGAGATCGGGGTGGCACCTCTCTGCTGCCACTTGGGATCTTCAGACAAATTGTAAAGAGGAGACAGGCCAGAGAGCTGGAAGGGAGTAGAGGGGAGAAGACTGTGGCTTTGAAGCTTAAAGCTTCAACCCCTCAATGCCATAAACAGGAATGAGAGAGTTTCTGTTTGTTACCTGGATTATAATAAATAAATTGATCACTTTACATTTAGTCTGTTTTCATTGATAAAATGTTTGTGTCGTCAGGATATGCAGTACTGACACAAAACCACAAGTTTTTAGTGGTTAAAATATCAGAGGTTTATATCTTCTTGCTGGGAGCTCGGTGGTGCTGGCTTCTTGCTGGAAGCTCTCAGTGGAGAGACTCCGCTGCTTTGCCCCCACCCAGCCTCCCAAGCTGCTGGGCCTCTGCCGCCTGGAACGTTGCCGGCAGCCGTGGCCTGGGGCAGGGAACGTAGCAAATCCCACAGGAGCTCTTAAAGGCTTCACGTCAAAGATGATGAATATTTACTCTTACCTCATTGGTCAAAACAAGTCACACGGCCATGTTTAGCTTAAGGGAAGTATAACCTGACCATGTGCATGGATGGAGGTGGACCAGTCTCAGTGAAGGCCCCTGCTGGCCACTATAGGGGTGCAGATACTTATGTGATGTGCCCCTCACAGGCCGGTACTGACGGAGCCTCACACACATCAGAAAGTACTAGATAGAAATGAGCACCATTTGAGAAGGGGTTGTGTTAACAGATTGTGACAAACTGGTTTTTTTTTTCCTTTTTAAAAAAAATGTCTATAATATTTTAATTCAAAAACTAAAAATTTTGTGCAAACGTCAAGTGGTAATAGAAGCGATACCCTTTTTTCCTCTGCGGTTGTCATCATTGTATTTACAATCTTCTTAAATGAAGCTTTACTGGCACACCCACCACAGGTGACCCTCATATGGAGGTGTGGTATTGAACTTGACCTAGCCTCTTGTCTTTTGAAAACAGAATGCCCAAAATCATACACCTCTTGGGTTCAAAATGCTTTCCCAGGTTGTGGGAATTTGGGGTGCTGAGAGGTACCGGGCTAGTGACTGTCCCCAATTCTCTCTCTGCCAAGAGAATGCCAGGGGTTCTCTTCCCCTGGCAGAGAATCGGGTCTCGCTCTGCCAGGCCAGTCCTGCTGGAGCGGGAGGTCACCGGGCAGGGAGGCACCATGTGTGCAGAGTGGCTTCATCCTTCCTGGGCACTGCCCACTGCTCGTCCACTTCCGCAACAAAGTGCCGCATTCCTGGGGTGGCTCTCGTGACGTTTAATGGGAGGTCTGACAGGGGTGTTTCGTTGGGTTCTTTTGGCTCCTGCAGGTGGCGACTTGTTTCTTCCCGCACCGTGGCCCTGGTGGGAGTTGCTCTGCTTTCCCTGGCACAGGGGCTCAGAAAAGCCCAGGGTTTTTGCTAAAGTGGGAGGCCTGTGCTTTTACATATCTTTGGCTGCACACAGTGAGAGTGCACAGAGTGGGGAGGTGTTTAATGAGGTACCTGAAGGGGACGGTGATTTATGCAGATGAACGTTAAGCACGCCTTCTCAACCATTCATTCATTTCAAGCAGCGATTGTTCAACCGGTGTGCCACAAGAATTTTTAAGACATGCAATACCTGAGTGTTAAGTCAGGGGAGCTGAGCTCTTTTCCCATAGGTTGTCAAATTAACAAAACAAAAGTGACAACAGCAAATGCTTAATAGCTAACCTGTATGAATGGGTCAAAATTATACCTGTTTTTGTTAGATCAGCAAAACATATATTTTTTGGTGTGCCATGAGATGAAAAGGTTGAAAATGATCTAGAGGCGAGGAGTTGTGATCATCATTTTTCAGTGTTCTCTCTCCACTGGGAAAGGAGCCCTCGGGTACCATGCCACCGTCTCTCCTCCCCCCACTCTCACTCCTGTCCTCGTCCCTCATTCTCCAGCAGAGGAGGCCAGCCGACAGCTGCGACCAGAGTTCCCTTCACAGTGGGCAACACAGTGACCGCCCCAATGGGGCCGAGCACACACCACCGAATCTCAGATACTATGGGAAATCAAAACATACCTATTAAGTACAGAGGCCTTTCACCATTTTTTAAAAGCATTCTTTTGGGAAAATATAGGAATGTAAAGCCGATATCTTTGCCATCACCTAAGAAATTTTTTCTTCAGTATTTTCTTGTTGTTACTCTGAGGTGAACCCCTAAGTTTCCAACATGCATTATACGTCTTTTTTCTTCTTTTAGCTATAAGCACTTTTCCATCCTACGGAATTATCCGGCTTCCCGCCGTCCCTGGTTCATAACCACACCGTCCAGGCAGACTTCAGTCACCCCCCTCTGGTTCCCTGCGGTCCGGGCAGCCGCGTGGGATCTTCCTGCTTAGGAAGCTCACAGCCGTACATGGGGACGCCCAGAGTTGTCTCTGTGGTTATCAGTGGGTCACATGCCTTTTACTTATATAAACACTTGCATCTCTTCATTTTAAAGTGGGTTTTGAAGTTTCTTATCTGCCTTAATAGCCTGTTGACCTATAAAGACTGTAAAGAAGGAAGAATAAGGGCTAATTAAGGGAGAGTGAGAGCTTGTTGAGTTGGTAAGGAAAAGCACTGCACAGCAGTTTGCAGCCCTGGAGCAGCGCAAGTGGAAACCAAAGAGGAACCAGCGAGCCGGCAGCGTGGGGCGGGGTGGTGGCACGGCCGAGACCAGCCCTTACCCTGCAGTTGTTGCAGCAGCGGGAATCAGTGCCCGTCGTCACAGGAGTGTCCTCCGCACAGGCTCGCTGGCCTGCCGTAGGCACATGCGAAAACAGTTTGGAGATGGGGGGAAAGCCCAACAGCCAAAGCCCACAGATGCTCTGCTCGGACAGGGAGCAGCAGTATTCTGCGGCGGTATGTTCCAGAGAAATGTGCTTTTCCACGTATTAACAGATACTGTCTTTGAGCTGTGTCATTTTGTGCACTTCTGTTGTCCCTTTTAAAGTGTGCTGGATCTCGGAGGAAAAAGACATAACTTCCTAGAAGGTTAGGAATGCGTGGCCTGTCACAGATTCATTCTGTTTAGGAACGTTTTTACGTGAAGTGGCTTTCACTCGGTGTTAATCTTTGCCTCTGGTTCCACGTATTTCCTGTGTACGTGACTTTGACTGGCCGTTGCTGGGTGTTTCAGGTTGTCACTGAGCACCAAAGTCATCCCACCATTTGTCTGAAAGTAACCATCTCACAAAAATCTGTTTTCATCAACCTTGTGGCACCTGATCTTGTTTATGGAGCTCTGAGCAGCCCCCAGGATGTTACCACATTACTACTGATCAAGCATTTGGTTGAGGGTTGTCTTCAGAGGTGTGGTCCTTGCAATGATTTAAACGTGTTGATCAAACTTCTTTGCTGAGCACTTGTGTTTCAGTATTGAGACCGGCCTGGTGTAGTGTTCTGCGTATCTCTGAAGGCTTTGCATCCATGGCAGGAGCTCCGTGTCCCTCCACTGGGAGCCTAGCAGATTCAGGGGAAGGGAGGACGCCGGAGGGGGCAGATGAGAGGTCTTTCCCTTGCCAGACTGCTACCAGCCCTGGAAGTGCAAAGCTGGCAAGTACATCTGGCTCTTGGCATTAGGAAACCTTGCTGAAAATAAAATTAAAATTCCTCTGCTGGACAGGAAATTAATCAGGGCTGAAGGTAGTAGATAGGAGCATAAGCTCCACTCCTTGTTCCTTCACCAACGACTGTTTTATTATTATGCAAATGAATGAAGCGCACAGTGACTGGTGGGGGTTGTGAGGAGAGGAGAGAAATAAAAGAGGTGAACGGGTTCCTTAGGATTTAAACTTTGGCAACAAAAATGTTTTTTATAGCATCTGCTGCCTCTTAGTCCATCGAATGCTGAGCAAGGGAAGCTCCTCAGCCTCTTTTGTCCTTGTTTCTGCAAAGTAGCCTTCATGACAATGTGATTTCTTCATTCCATAACACTTCCAGGTCATCCGGGGTGAGCCAGGCCATATGCCAGGTGCCAGGGCTAAGCCATGAGAACAGCCAGCCCCTGCCCTCCAGGAGTTTAGGGTCTTATAGGAAAAGATATCGGAAAGCATTAGGTCTGCAGAGAGGCAGGCACATGAGCAATGGTGTCATGCCACTTAGGGTTCTCTGGCTGACAAGTAACTAAAACAGGACCAGACAGACTTCAGCAAAAAAGGAATGAATGGGTGAATGGGAAACTGACTAGTCATAAAGGAGCTTGGGATGGAAGCTCTGGAGATATACAGAGCACGAACCAAGGGACTGTCTCCCCAGGACCCTCAGTCACGTGAATCGACTCCAAGCAACCCTGGGTCCATGTGCTCAAGATTCAAATTCCCGAAGAAGGTATCTAAATGGCACTTTGGGCCACTGTCCACTTTTTGGCTAAGAAAAAGAAGAGACTGGGGTAGTCCGACAAAGGCTGTGCACAATGGCTAAAGGATCTTTCTGCAAAGAGAGAATGAGTGTGAGAGACACAGACACAGGTGTTTACCAGGGCGTTGCCAAACAGCTGTTGCTGCATTTCTTGGAATTTGCTGGTCAGTGAGCAGGTTCTGTTTGGGGTGTGCACACCACTGAGCTTGTGATGGTTTGGAGCCATGAAACTTAGAACCACTAGCCTATCGCTGCATCACCTCACTGGCATTTCTTTCTTGGTCTCTTGATTCCAGTGTGAACAGTCCCATCTCATGAGAGAGCATGAGGATGTCCAGGAGCGGACGACGCTTCGATACGAGGAGCGCATCACGGAACTCCACAGCATCATCGCCGAGCTCAATAAGAAGATAGACCGTTTGCAAGGCACCACCATCAGGTAGTAGCCTTCACATCATCCTTCTCTCTGCCCCTCTGGGCTGTAGCCTAGGTCTTGGGGTCGAAGCCGCCCCTATGAATTATAATGATGTTTTATTTGTAACTCACACTTTTACAGTTGATAAAGTAGTTTCTCTTTGCTTTGTCTGCCATATGCTTTCCCCTTTATTATTCTGTTCTAAGGGTGGCAGTTGGAATCCTCAGTTTATTAGGATGTGGAATCAGAAGTTGAGTGAGATGCTTTATTAACAAGTTCTACGCGGAGCCCCTCTCTCTGAGAGACCAGCGTCCCTCCCATGCCTTTGCCTCACCAGGTTTGCTCTCGATGTGTAAACCATGTGCCTCCCTGGGAGATTTCCAGAGATTTAGGAATGAGGCTTATAATTAAGCATTACGTAGCCTTCTAGATAATCTAATAATATTTTGAGCTGATGTCAAGTCGATTTACCAACATGGATTTAGCCTCTTACACATTCCTAAGGTGGGGGCAAGATTTGATCCATCACTGGGGAAAAGGCCGGGCTCAGTGTTGTGGGACTGCTTCTTCCTTGTTTGTCAGTCAGTTGGCCCCAAACCTCCTGCACACAGCACTTGGTGTGTCTGCCCTGCTGTTCAGGGCAGAGGTTTGGCTTTAAGTGACTTTTACTGAGCTGATGAGAGCTGTTGTCTTCCTGTCTGTGCTCAGGGCACTGCCCTGAAGAAAGCACCTTTATGGAGAAGGAGTGCTTTGTTTGTTGAATATCTGTGCAAGCCACAGGTATGAGCATTAAAGGCAGCCTCCTTAAATTCTCCCTGCAGAAGGCCTGGGTTAGAAGAAACTTCGGAAGCATTTTGTCCCAACTCTGAGAGTCATAGTAATGACAGGGTTCCTTGATGAGGGTACAGTCGGGCCTGTGTTTTCCTGGGCAAAATCCCGGAAACACGTGCCCTGAACTGGGGCCACACAATAAATTTCATATTCTAATTTAGAACCTCAAGACTTTTACACTGCATCCTGGTCTTCTGAGTAGATTGTAGGTTAGTAATGCATGAGCAGAGAAACTTTCAGCCCAAAGAAACGATTATAACAGAGTTAAAGGAGGCTGATAGACTAAGCTGGTAGGTTTGTAATTTTCATTAAAACATGTTGTACTTTAAACACTTGAAGATGAAAGAAGGCAAATGGGCTCAGTGAGTTGTGAAAAAACGCATCACACATGACCTGGAAAACTCAATTTCAGGATGCTTAAATTGATGATCATGGCCAAACTGCTTCATGTGAAAATACAGTGAGCTTCTTGACCATAAACATTTATTCATGCCTTTTATTTAAAGGAAAATTATATCTGTGCAGATGTGTCGTTAAATTCTGCCAGTTTTCATTATGTAAATGGTCTGGTTCCTCCTTGAAGTGACTCCATGAAGAGCTGGAACACATGCAGACATGTGGGCCAGTGAGACAAGGCTCTTCTTGTCCTCCGAACTCAGCAGCTAAGGCATCGCCCCAGCCCCCAGCACACCAGGAAGTTTGCCCTCAGATCCTGTGATTCTGTGACAGGCTCCGTAGCAGCCATTCACCTCAGACGAATCCCGACTGCCCTGGCATATCCAGGGTCTAGAGGATTGATGGTCATACAGTCACATGCAATGCTGGCAGACTTTCTTGTCACTTCAGTCTGACTTAGGAATTTATTAGAAAAGCTGAAAAATTATTAGTAAGGGACTAAGTTTATGTAAACTATGGTATACCCACATTTAAGCAATACTGAACTGCTTAAAGAAAGAAAATGTCAGTATTCGTTTTCAGTTTTTATCTCAGATCATGTTCAGAGAACCAGGGACCTTTTGTGACTTCCCTAGGATACTGTCCCATCTCTTACAGCGACAGGGCTAACATAGCCAAGAATCAAATACTGTTGGTGGCTCAATTCCAATGTAAGTCAAAGTCACACATCAGCTCTCTTAGGTAAAGAGTAAGTAAGCACTGATACGAAAAGATAAAACGATGAGAATTTGAATGGAGACAGTTGTGGTGATTGAAATCAGTCCAGATTCGTAGAGCCTTACAAACCACACCGAGCTTCCCTTTCTGCAGAAGCAGCCCTTCGCCTGTTGGGTACGGCTGCCCTGCCTTGCCAGGAGACTGCGGCCCTCTGATCCCAGGCAGGGGTGCCGGGTGTCTTCACACCCTGCTGCTGCTCCATTCCTCTTCTAGGCCTAAAAGGAGTTCCAGTTCTTCCTGCCCGAGAGATAAGTAGAAATTCCAACCTGAGAAGATACAGCTAAAATATGAAAAGATCTCTAAGATTTTGTTCATTTATAGTCACCAAAACTTGGGGGCAATATGTGTGGGATTAGGACCTATGGGTTCTAGTTCAGGGAGAGAGGAATGCAATGTTGGGTTGATGGTGAATTTATTGATAGGACTATTCCTACCAGAAATTCTGGATTCACTATTTAAGTTCCAGTGGTTTGATGAACTGAAAAGTAGAATCAGTGGTAGACTACATTAAACAACATTAAAATGCCAGAACCATAATAGAGTAATATAGGAGTCCAGAGGCCTAGCGAGTGAGGAAGTTGGGTGGGAGATGACATCGTTAAGATGGGATCTTCGATGCCACTTAACTCCTGCAGCGAGTGTGGGTTTAGTCACTATGTCGGGCAATGGGACAACAGTAGTGATCAGAAAGGTCTGACCTGTAGAGATCTTTCAGCCTGGCTCATTGGTCACAGGGTCTCTAGGACTAGCCTACATGGGCAGCCTGTGGACGGTGTACTTGATCTTTCTGGGTCAAAAAACTCTGGACTGGTGAACAGGGACTTGACTTGCCATGCAGTGGAGACTCAGGGCCTCTTACCCAATTTCCTTTACCTGGTCCAGCACACTGACCCAGAGCACCGTGGATGCAGGGGAGGATGTGTACAGTCCTGCCACAAGTGCGCACAGTCTTCCTTCTCCCCTTCCAAAGAGACGTAAGAGGGAGACCGTGCAGTGGGGAGAAGAGAGAATAACAGTAGTGGGACGGTAACTGGCTCTGAGCTGATGATAGACCCCGAGACCTCCAAAAACCTATAGTCCATCAGTCAGAGTGGGGATTTGTGAAGGTATATTACCAGTCAGCCCAGACCGCTGTAACAAAATGCTACAGATTGGGTGGCTTAAACAGCAGAAATGTATTTCTCACAGTTCTGGAGTCTGGGAAGGCCAACATTAAGGTGCCAGCCAATTCAGTTCCCCGCTGGGGGCTCTCTTCCTCATTTAAAAACGGTTGCTTTCTCACTGTGTCTTCACAAGGCAGGGGAGAGAGATGAAGCAAGTTCTCTGGTATCTCTTCTACAATATAGGTCACTAATCCCATTATGAGGCCCCTGCCCTCATGACCTCATCAAAATTTCCATCTCCAAATATCATTACATTGAAGGGTAGGCTGCAACCTATGATTGTGGCGGGTGGAGAGGACACATTTCAGTCCATAATACAGCACCATTTGTGAGATGAACATTTTTCAGGGCCCTGGAAGCATAGTAAATGCTCCTAACCAACAACAGAATATGGTGCCACCTTTTGGGGGAGGGTCCAGAGACCAAAAGGTGGAAATAGAAGTGGCTCCTCTCATTTGTATACCTGAAATCCCACTTTAAAAAATTGTTGCTTCTCATTCTTGCAACTTTAAGCTCTGCTAGTTTAGAAGTCTTGGTTCCGCAGGAACCTGTGACTCCACCGAAGAGTATAACAATGATCCCATTGACTGCCACCAGGCTCTTGGCAATAAAGAGAGTTACTGTACTGGCTGGGGTGTTGGGATCATTCAAAAGGAAATTGGATTGTTGCTGTCCAGAGGGGCAATGAGGACGATGCCCCGAACCAAAGGGATTCTCTGGTCCGCCTCCTAGAAACTGCCCAGTGGTAAAAGTTTGTACATTAGAACAACCTAGAGGAAGAAAGTTATACATATCAACTTAGCCTCATGACCAGTCGCGAAAAGTTAGTGAAACTTAAAGTCTCATAGTTCTGAAACTGGAAAAGTCAGCATTCATGCCTCCTGCCACTACCAGAACCGATGAGTAGAGACAAGGATTGGATCTTTATGGACGCTTTATTCAGATGCCAGCAATCTGAGAAGATGGTGGGTTATGTACCCTGAAAAACTGTCTTAACATCTCATCTCCATCTGACCTTTTTATAAGAAGAAAAGATAGGTAAGAGGCTTGAGAAAAAGGTTAATTGGATAAGAGTTGAAGTCCTGGGTGATTTTCCTAGTATTTCCTTTTGTGTTGATCAACAATTCTTTATCTACATCCCAGACCTTCCCTCTCTGGAACACAATGGCTTGCAGACCCCCTGGGACACAAAGGTTGAATTGCTTGTGACCTCCTTAAGTCATGCATTCCAGTTCCTGGAATAACAGCCTTCCACATGCATTAGTCACTTAAGCCTATCAAACTAAGACTAAAATCTTTAACTCTTGAGTTTCCCTATCAGTAGATTACATGATATGTAGGTGAACTAGGAGAGGAGTAATCATTTAACAATGGATGCAGTACCTGATGGGACTTTGGGTTTCCCACTTTGGTGAGGTGAATTCATTTATATTTGAATGAAAGATAGTTACAGAAGTTTGGTGTCCGCTGCTATTGCAATTTGAAAATGTAAGTATAAGAGCATGTGTATGGTGGTCAAGTAGCCAAAGAGAGTAGACTATTGTAAATATTGTCTGGCACCTGGTACCATTCCCACCCCCTCTGTCCACACTCTGCAGAATCAAAGGGGTTAGACCCTGGGGACTACTTCCCAGACTCCCTTCTCATCTGGGTTCTGCCAGTGAGATGCACTCACTTGTGTTTGGAAGACAGAAGGGAAGAGGGAGACATTGTCCCTCGGGACAATTGGTTGCAGATGATGTACAGGCTTTGGTAACTTGAGGTCCTACATTAACTGGTCAGACCCTGGAGCTGTGAGCAGTTGTGAAGGCAGCAGCAGTTCCCTGATCTTTGAGGGGACCTCAGCCGTGATGGCAA